CCCGCCCCCACTCCGGTGCCCTCCCTACCTTGCCCTGGGGGTCCAGGCAAGCAGCGAAGAGGTGCCGAGGTGGGCTGGGCTGCTCCAGCAGCCCCTTCAGCAGCGCCAGGCCCAGCCCCCCATCGCAGCTGGTCAGCAGGACACTGCCCACGCTGAGCCCCTCCATCCCCACTGCTCTCCCCAGCCGGTTGTGCTGCCCAGCCAGGTTTGGCAATCGGCCTCGATAATCCGGGAGGTGGCAACGCTGCGGGTGCTGCTGGGATGGGTGGAGGTGGGGGGAACCGCCTGCACCCCCTCTTCTGGAAGGGATGGGGCAGCAGGATGTTCTTCTGCATCCCAGGGTCACCCATCACCTTGACTACGGGGTTGTTGCATTCCTCCATACCCCAAAACACCCACCCCCCTCAAGCCATGGGAACCCCAAAGGGGTGATGGTACCTTCCCACCTGTTCCCCATTACTGGGGTGACCCAGAGAACCAGAACATCCATAGGAGCACAGGCAAGGCTATTAATTACAGTACAACCTTTATTAATACTGGAATCTTCACAGTGCATTCGTTACTTGTAGCAGTGACTATGGAAAACGGGGAAGGGGGGAAAGAGGGTAATTACCACCAGAAAAAAAAAAAATAAAAAAAAAAAAAAGAAAGAAAAGACGGAATGAAAGAAAACGTGGCAGAGGGACAGGGAGAAGGGAAGTGGCGGCAGAGGTGGGAACACGAGGGGAAAAATAAATTAAAAAAAAAAAAAAGAAAAGAATAAGGACCAAGTTAACAACAGCACCAGAAAAGTTACTTCAGTCGAAAGACAGGTCAGTTTTTTTTCTTTTCCAAAGAATTTTTGTTTTCTGTACAAAATAAGAGACCCCCCCCCTCCCTCAAACCCAAACATTTGTCACTTGGCCTCAGTGGTTCTGGGCAGGAGAAGGGGAAAGGGGAAGAACTAAATTGTTATTCCTAAGGGGGTGGGCTGAGGGGCTGCGATGCGACAGACAGCGGGGCGGCGGGGGCTATGTACAGCAGGGGGCCGGGGGGTTGTGCTTTCCTCCAGCCGCCGGCAGAAATCAGCTGCTTTGCTTGGGGGTCTGAGCCAAACCTCCTGTGCCTGGAGCCACCTCTGAGCAGACTCTGCACAGGGTCTGTGGGTGCTGAGGGGGTTTGCAGGGGGGTCCCAAGTGATCCTTGTGAGGGGGGGCAAAGTGGAGGTTCAGCGTCCTCAGTCCCTGCACCTTGGTGTCCCTCCTAGACAGAGGGGATTGCAGTGCCTTTACCCGCAGCCCCCACCCTCTCACATGTCCCCCACTTCTTCTTCCCCCTCCTCCACCCCCAGCCCATTGCTTCTGCCCCCTGGAATGAGGCTGAGCTGTGCTGGCCCCAAGCAGGCAGCTGGGGGGAATGGGGCCAGGGCCCCTCACTCCTGGTGCTCTGGGTGCTCCATGGCTGCCACAGCCCTGCTGGCACTGTCCTCTCCTGCTGCAGCTGGGGCCACCCGCCTGCGCCCGGGGGAAAGAAAACAGGGGAGAGGGAAAGAGAGAGGGGAAAAGGAAAAGAGAAACAAAGGGAAAGAGGTGAAAAAAATGAAAGGAAGAGGAAAATAGAAAGCAGGAGAAAAAGAGTTAAAAAGGAAAAGAAAAAAATGAGAGGAAAAGAAGAAAAATGAAGAAAATAAGAAAAGAGAAGGAAAAGTGACATAGAAGAACAAAAGAAAAAAGCCAAAAGAAAAAAGCAGAAAAAAGAGGAAAAAGAAGAGGAGAAAAGGAGAAAAAGAGGAGGAGAGCCAAACAGAGAGTAAGTGAAGGAGGGATGTAAGGAGAAGGCAGGTCAGGAGGAGCAGAGGGGCAGGAAGCAGGGGGCACCAGGGAAGGATAGGGCAGCGGGTGCCGGCGGGTGGGGGTCCCGGGAGGTGCAGTGGCTGCCCCCGGGGGTCCATTGGCCACGGCGGGCACGTCCCCTCTGGCCGGGGCATCATCACGATATCCGCGGGGCCGACCTGTCATTGGTGACGGTCCTGCGCAGGCGCACCCCACGCCGGATGGCCACCAGCATGTCTTCGGCCGGGGGGTCCATGGAGGCCGCGGGGGGCGGCGCGGGGGTCTCCTCGCTGGGGCCGGACCCCACGAGGGCGGTGGGGAAGGGGAACTGGCCTTCCCCCAGGGCATGGGCTCCGGCCACCAGCTCCCCAATCTTCTCCACCAAACTGTGCCGGTTGGCAGCCAACTGTTGGTCCTCCTCTTCCTCAGCGGAGAGGTGCTGGCCGGCCCCGGGGTAGACAGAGATCTCCATGGCACCGCCACCCCAGGCAGTGTTGGGAAGGCTCAGCCGCTTGGGCGAAGCTTTGGCAAAATCCAGGGGGTTCGGAGAGGCATCATCAGCATAGAAGACGCACTCTTCACTGCCCACCCGCATGGGGCCGGCGTAGCCAGGGGAGTCGGGCACCGTGGGGGTCTTCACGGGGACGATGGGGGGTCGGATGGGGATGGGGCCAGCATTGGAGAGCGTACGGCGGACAGAGGGCTTGGTGGAGGGCGTGCGGCGGATGGTGGCCACCCCCGGGGTGGTGCCGGCCGGTAGGTTGGTGCCGGTGGGCAGCCCGGCGGTGGAGGCAGGACGCTTGGTCTGGATCATCCGCCGGTAGTTCTGGGCGATGTTGCTGTTGCGTGGGATGGTGGAGGACTTGTCGAAATCACTCTGGGGGTCGCACTCCACGTCACCGTTCACCGAGTAGCAGTCATAGTCGGAGCCTGGGGAGGGAGCAGCACCATCAGTGTGGCTAGGGGGCAGCGGGTAGCCGAGCCCAACCATGCCATCAAAGCCAGCCCCAGCCACCTCCGTCACAGCACAACAACCAAACTGAACTGCCATGATTGTCACACAACCACTACTGTCCCAATCATTGCTGCCATAACACGCTCACCATCAACCCCAAATTTCCCTCTGGAAGGAAACCACAATAACCCCAACCATCACAACCAAACCCAACTGTCACCATCACAACCACCCCAACCACAACCATCACAACGTGATCAGAGCCAATCTCCACTGTCACCACCACATGCTCGTCATAACTGGCTCAGCTGTCATCATACCAACATCATGACAGACATGGTAATTTCATCTGCAGCTACCAACTCACCTACCATCTGCCACCATCTCCACCTGTACTCAGCCTCTGCACACAGACACATCACCACAAATCATAACCTGTTACAGCACTTCCTGGCACAACTGCACCCACTGAGTCCCAGTAAACATCCAAATAACCAGGAAAAGATGTAGTTATTTTTGGCACCCCACCAACCCCTACAAAGTATGACCACAGCCTGATGCTACAATACCCAAAGCACACAAATGTGTCCCAGGACCACCAACACCTCTGCTGTGCCCTTCCCCACCCTAAGTGCCATTTCAGGTGGTCCCAGGTACCTCCAGTGCCAGTACCTTGGGAAGGGATGGTGTCCTCAGAGCAGGAGGGGGTGGTGGTCTGCGTGCTGTAGCCACTGGAGTACTGCAGTGAGTCCCGGCTGCTCTTCTGGTGTTCCAAGCTCAGCCCACGGGTCAAGACCATGGCCAGGTCACTGGCGGCAGGGGACACCTCCTCCCCATGCTGCTGGGGCAAGGGGCACTGTCAGCACCCTGGTTCCTCCTTTGGGAGTCCCCAGGAGCCCCCCACCACTGTGCCCTCCCTGCTGCAGCTGGTACCTTGGCAGCGATTGTAGCTGGCGACATCCGGGGCCTGGGAGCATCCTCGCCACCGATGCCCGGGTACCCTCCAGCAGGAGAGCCCATCTCGGATTCCCGCAGGTGCTCCACGCGGTCCTTGCGCCGCTGCAGGGTAGGGACCACCGGCTGGTCATAGGGGCTGGCCTTGGACCAGTCCTGCAACGGGCAAGGCATGCGGTTCATGCTGGTGACACTGAGACCAGGAGTGTGGCAGGAGGGGTCTCAAGCTGATGTCCCCCGTGTCAAGTCACAGGTGCTGCTCAGGATGCTCTGCCCCATGCAGGAAGGGAGGGGAGGGTCCAGGGGTTGAACCCCATGAATTAAGGAGGGAGCCACGTGTGAAATGCAACCCTGGTGGGATGGCAAGGACTAACCGAGGTGGGGGAGCTGCACTCGCTAACTGACTGGCAGGTTTCAGATGCCTCTGAGGACGCCGAGCTGGAGGACTTCTGCTGTGCCGTGACGAGCCGAGAGCCGGGAGGTGAGAGAAGAGGCAGTTAGCAAGCAAAGCCAGAGCCATGACCCCAGTTAGAGCAGCACCCACAGCTCCCCTGGCTGAACGAGGTCCCCAGCCCTCCTCCCCTCTGGCGGTGGATGCAGGATGGCGAGCAGGATGTGACCTTAGTAGTGGGGTCAAGGACTGGGATGATGCACTCCCCCAACCCTTCCTCCTTCTCACCCCAAGCCATGCAAAGCAAACAGGTATTTTAGGGAGTGAGGACCCTGCTGGGTTGGTGATGCCAGGTTAGCATGCATAGGCAGGAATAACAACTCCCTGGGGATCCTGGAGCATCCCTGGCACTGGGGATGGTACAGCATGAAAGGGAAGCTTTGCTCCGTGCTGCCTGGTGGGTGACTGGCACAAACTGGGTATTACGGGGCTGTGGTGATTGGAACACACCCTGTTCTCCTGGCACAGGGAGAGGGATACCTGTGCCCCATCCCTGGGGGAATTCACGGATGGGGTTTCTCTGCCATGTGGCCCAGGATGCCCCCAAATATGGCAGGCACCCTCAATATTGCCAGTATTTATTTCCCATGATGCCGACACAAGTAGAAATACTTCTGAGGGTGGGTCTCATCACCTCTGCACTGGACTGTTGTGTTGCACCCAGCACCACCCACCCATTCTACGGAAGAGGAAACTGAGGCATGGAGGTCAGCAGCACGGACCACCCTCCCTGTACCTGGCTGGTGATGTCCGAGGGCATGGGGGAAGGTGGTTTGGAATAAGCGGCGTCCTGGGAGATGAAGCCGGAGTCGTGGGAGGAGACGCTGGAGAGGNTTGGGGACATTTTGCAGGGACATGGCACAGAGGTCCCTCCACCGGGGATTGTGGGTGGCACCCCTTTGCGCTGGGACACCGCACGGAGCCTTTGCGTGGGGGCACGGCACGGCTGCTTTCCCTTGGGACACGGCACCGCGTGGGGACACGGCGTGGTCCCCCCGGCACCGGGACGCGCTGCTGGGGACACAGATGGGGCCCCTTCTGTGCTGGGATATGGCACGGACACAAAGCACCCTCCTTCGCAAGGGGGCACGCTGTGGAAGATGTGGCACAAGGACATGCTACGGTCTCCTTCCACAGCGTGGGAGCATGGCAGAGCCCCCTTGACAGGGGTGTAGGGACAGGACACCTCTGTGTGGGGACCCAGCATGAGGTGGCTTGGCCGTTTCACCAGCCCCGTCCCCCAGCGTTCCTCGGCTGGGGCCGGACTAACTCACCGCTGGAATAACGGGGCTGGGTTCATCCCCCTCCTTCCCTGGAAATCCCCTGAGGGTGTCATCAGGGAAGCCCTGGTAGCCCTGCCCCAAGCGGGACACAGGCATGCACGGCTCCACGGCCACCCACAGTATCTTGGCCACCCGCGGCTCACGCGGGACTTCTTCCCTGCCACCCCCGGGGCTGGGAGCGGGTGTCCTGCCTGGGGGCTGCAGCCGGGGCTCTCTTCCCCCAGATTCCCTCTTGCAGTCCGGGGGTGCTCCTGCACCCCTGCAAACACATCCCTGCCAACACCCTGTGACGGCCCCCGGACCTGCTGCCTCCCTGCCACCAGCTGGAGAGGAGAAGCCAGCGGGGACTGCCGGGAAGGGGGACTAACCCCCCATCCATGGCAGGGAACAACTGCCCGGGGCTACCGGAGAGCAGCCAGTGCCCGGAGCCTACACCTGTCCCTTGTCCCCATACCATCCACGCCACTGCCCTGGAGGCTCCCGGTGAGCCCCAGCCATGTAGGCACAGCCTGGGGCTCCACTGACGGCCACCATCAACATGCAGCAGGGCTACGCTGCCGTCCTATGTGAGTACAGCTGGGGGACAGGGGGGATGGCCTCGGGAGTCACCTCAGTGGTGTCCCTGGGGGGGCTGATGCCGCTGGGTTTGGCTGCCCAGGTGTCCTGGCTGTGCTGGGGCTGGAGGCTGCGGCGCCGGGCGAATGCGAGCTCACCCGCCTGCTCCAGGACAAGTTGCAGTATGAGATGCGCCTGCAGTACATGGTAAGCCCAGCTTTGGGAGGTGGGAGGGACACGTGGCATTGCAAGGCCCCGATTTGGTCCAGGGGATACATGGTGGGGGGCAGCACCCACTGCTCTCCACTGGTTGGGTGCCGTGTGCTGTGTTTTTTACCAGGGACAATTTGTGCCAAATTGTGCCCAGAGCTACTTCTGCTGGGGGCTGACCACATCAAAGGGCTTTTGCACCGGCTCCCCGGTGTCATGCTGAGGGTGGCAAGGATGTGCCCATTACTTTGCCCGATGCTCTTCCTTGCCTTTCCAGAAACACTACTTTCCCATTGACTACACAGTCCAGGTCCAGTACGAAGAGGTGCTGAGGCCATCCAACATCACCCGCCTGGTAAGATGTTGGCAGGGGAGAGTCCCATGATGGGAGAACTCCAGGGACCCATGGGGGCTGCATGGCTCTCACCCTTTTGCCCTTTAGCGCAACGGGACAGTGTCGGAGGCAGCACTACGGTACCTCTGGTTCCATGTCAGCTCCCAGGCAGTGCTGCGGATCCGTGAGGTGCTGCCAGAGAAGCACCCATCCTGGAAGTACACCCAGGAACTCTGTCAGCTCTTCGATGCTCTGGGCGAGGAGTACAGCAAGTACCGGCAGGTGAGGATCCCCCCTGGCACCCCAGCCCGGCCGCACGTCACGCACTCGTGTGCCGGGAGGACACACACTGAGCCATGAGCACCTGGGAGGGCACAGCACGGCCATGGACATTTTCCCTGCGTGTGGGTTCTGTGGAAGGACTGAGTGCAAGGACAGAATTTGGGAGCAGGGTTTGGGGCCGTGTAGCAGTGCCTAAAAGAAGCTGCACATCTGGCATTGGTGGTTCAGTGGTAGAATTCTCGCCTGCCACGCGGGAGGCCCGGGTTCGATTCCCGGCCAATGCAAGGGCTGCATTTTTTTCTTTTTTTTCTTGCCTGCAACCCGTCCCCCTTGGGGGATAGATAGACCTGGAAACAACGGGACTGTCACGCACACCGACCTCCGTCATGGGGTGGCACTACCACAGCCGGCAGTTGCAGGGGATCAGGCAGAAGATGCCCAAGAATTTTTCCCTGTTTTGCCGGTGATGGTCCTGCCTCTCTGCCCAAGCCTCTGCTGCCTCGATGGAGCTGCTGAACCCCGAGGCGGCTGCACTTGGGTGCTGGATGTGGGTGGCCTGTCACGGCTGGGTCGCCAATGTGAACCCAAAGCGTGATGTTGTCCTGTGCCACGGGGCAGGTTCTCTCCGAGGAGAGAGTGAGCTTTGCTGGGTTGTTTCATGAGAGGGTTAACTGTGCAGGCTGCTGAGAGCCCCTCCTTGCTGTAGGTGATGTGAGGCAGCGGGAAGAGGCGTTCCCATGTGCCGCTCCCATGTGCTGGAGCCGCGGTGTCAGAGGTGTGTTGGGGTGCTCTGTGAGGGTGTTCAGAGGTGACAGGGCCTGTCCTGCTGCTCGCAGGCCGCTGGGTTTGGGAGTGTGGGGGAGGGCTGGGATATTGTGCACATCTGGCATTGGTGGTTCAGTGGTAGAATTCTCGCCTGCCACGCGGGAGGCCCGGGTTCGATTCCCGGCCAATGCAAGAGCTGCATCCTTTTGCACCCTGCTGTCCTTTGGCTGTTGCCAGCGTGCTCAGGGAATAGCTGAGGTGCTTCCGTGGGTGCTCCCTTGGGCATCTCTGTAGAGGTGCTCCCTCTGCATCTCCCCGCGTGGCTGACTCTGTGCTATGTGTGGGTGCTCAGGCCCTGAGGGTGGCAGCAGCAGCTCTGCCTGCATTGAGTATCCTTGGCTTGGTGGCACCGGGGACCAATAAGAGAAGATGGTTTGGTGAATGACCAGCTCGGTTGGGTGGCAGGGAGGGACGCAGCCTCAATGACAGCAAGGCGTGCTATGTTGGTGGCAGTGACGGTCCCTGGTTTAGGAGCAGTGGAAGGTGCTGGTTCCTGTCAAGGATGCCCAGGCCATGGAGGCAGATGGCACCTGTGGGCAGTTCCACATCTGACATATGTAGTTCAGTGGGACAATTGTGCTCCCCCTCTTAAAAGCCAGGGTTTTGTTCCTTGTCGGTGCAGCCCAGTGTCCTGCCTTTCAACTCTGCAGCTCCCAGCCCCTCCACCTGATGGGCTCCATGCAGCCTTGGGTTGCTTGTGGCTGGGAGGTGCTGCTGCACCCCAAGGCAGAGGTGTTTGACTGCTGGATGTGGGTGGCCTGTCACAGCTGGGTCACCACTGTGAACCCAAAGTGTGGCTAGGTCATCCGGTACCACGGGACAGGTTCTGCAGCCCCTCTGAGGAGAGAGGGACCTTTGCTTAGTTGTCACCAGAGGGTTAACTCTGAAGACTGCTGACAACCCCTCCTTATTGATGAGACAGCAGAGGAGACGCTTCCATGGGCTGGAGCCGGGGTCTCAGAGCTGTGTCTTGGGGTCCCCTGTGTGTGTGTGTGTGTGTGTGTGTCTGTGGTGTATTCACTGGCAGCAGTGCCTGCCCACACTGCACTCACTCTGCTGGATTTGGGACGGTGGGGCCGTGTGGGAAGGGTGAGGAGCCTCTCCACATCTGGCATTGGTGGTTCAGTGGTAGAATTCTCGCCTGCCACGCGGGAGGCCCGGGTTCGATTCCCGGCCAATGCAGTGAATGTGCTTTTTTTTGCACCCAGTCTCTGGGGGGACCACGGGGACTGTCCTGGGGTGCCTGGGGGGATGGCACATCTCTCCCCCTGCGTGGATGTGAAGAGTGTCATTGTCGGTGGAACAAAGCCAGGGCACCTTGATGACTCCCGGGAGACTTGGTGCCTTATGGGCAGTGACTGTCCATGGCTCACTGACAGTGAGGGTTTCTCGTTTGGTGACAGTGACAAAGGGCTTTGTCTCGGTGGCAGTGAGGCCCAGGGCAATCGGGCAATGGGTCTGGGAGGTGCTGCCCCATCCAAGAGGCAGCTGTGTTTGGGTACTGGATGTCTGTGGCCTGTCACACCAAAGTGTGGCTGGGTTGTCCTGTGCCACGGGGCAGGTTCTGCAGTGCCTCCGAGGAGAGAGTGAGCTTTGCTGGGTTGTTTCATGGGAGGGTTAACTGTGCAGGCTGCTGAGAGCCCCTCCTTGCTGTAGGTGATGTGGGGCAGCGGGAAGAGGCGTTCCCATGTGCTGGAGCCGTGGTGTCAGAGGTGTGTTGGGGTGCTCTGTGAGGGTGTTCAGAGGTGACAGGGCCTGTCCTGCTGCTCGCAGGCCGCTGGGTTTGGGAGTGTGGGGGAGGGCTGGGATATTGTGCACATCTGGCATTGGTGGTTCAGTGGTAGAATTCTCGCCTGCCACGCGGGAGGCCCGGGTTCGATTCCCGGCCAATGCAAGAGCTGCATCCTTTTGCACCCTGCTGTCCCTTGGGGGACCTTGGTGACATCCTGGTGGTCTGTCCCTGCAGACAGATGTGGAGACAGTGGTGGCCGATCTGGTGAAGTTGATCCACAGCGCGGGCGCTGAGAGCCGGAGCAAGGCTGTGCGCCCCAAGGCACTTCTGGACAACTGCCTCAAGGTCATGCGGATGCTCTATGGGGTGCCCTGTGAGTTTGGGATCAGGGTGGGTGGTCCGACCTGGAGGAAATCAGATGCCACGCAGGGGGACCCTGTCCCACGCCATGGTACATGTTCCCTCTGTTCAGGTCGGTGGGAGTCCACCTAACACTGTGGAAGACCCCTCACTCGACACCTCCTTGCCCTGGAGCCTCGGATGCTGCCTCTGCTCTGCTCCTCCCACAGCCCTGTGGGGGGTTCCCAAGGAAGGTGCAAAGGTGGGACAAATGCCACTCCTTCCAGGACCAAACACAACCCCTTCCAGAACTGTGGGACTGTTTATGGCTGTTGGGTCTTGTCCATCTGAAACGTCTGGCACCCTTTGCATGGGTGTGGGGTCAGACACAGCCCCCCATGGCAGGAATCTGTTGGGGGGACACATAGCCCTCCCTGCCACAGGGCAGGTGAGGGCATCACCCTGTTTCTCTTGATTTGTATTTTTTCCTCAGCTTTCATTAAACACCAGTTAATTCTCTAGCATTGCAGCTCAGCTTCCGACTGGGTCCCGGGAGCCTCCAGCCTTACCCGAAATAAAGGACCAGCAAACAGAGCCTCCACTGCCTCCTCTTTTGGGGTGCCAGCCATCTCCCTCACCGCTGTGGGGGAGAGACTCCCTCTGATAAAGGGACCCCTGCCAAGCTGCCTCGGTCAGCCCCGGCTGCTTCCCCTGCAAGGAAACATCTGGATTTGTTTGTTGTGCTTGGCGGCATGGTGCAGGCGGCACACCGGAGGGGCTGGGGCTGCCTGGCTGCCTCCCCTCTTTACAGCTTAGTTAATTACCTTCATCAGCTATTAGAGACCTGAACTGGTGTATTCGTGGCTTAGGCTCATGAGCCCATGGGCACTGCAGCATGAGTGAAGGAACATCTTCCTCCTGCTCCTGCTCCTGCTCCTGCTCCTGCTCCTGCTCCTGCTCCTGCTCCTGCTCCTGCTGCTCCTGCTCCTCCTCCTCCTCCTCCTCCTCCTCTCCCCTTTCCTTCCTCCCTTCATGCCTGGTGATAATTCCTTTTGATAAAAAGCCCACACAGAGCTGATATAAAACCCGCCAGTAATGATCCACTGCTTGATAAGAGCTTTAACTAGAAGAACCCTCTCTCCCATCCCTGCTGGCTTTAACAGAGCCCCTGTGTGGTCCAGGTACCCACCTGGGGCTGCCTTAGCCCTTGGGTTAAGGGAGCCCCAACCTCCATCTCCCTTGTGTCAAGTGTGGGAATGATCCTTCATCCTCCTCCAGTGTGGGAAAACTGAAGTTGTCTCTGCAAAATGACCCCTGCCCAGCTTCATCTCAGAGCATCCCCCCAGCAATGGGCTTGCCAAAACCCTGCGTGTCCAGCCCACTTGAGACATTGTGCATTTTCTTCTGATCCCTCTTTTGAGAGATGGCTTCAGAAGTGTCAGCTGAGAGCCTCTACAGGAATGCACTCACAGGATCGAGAATGGGAGCCTGTTTACAGTATCTCCTGGTGTACCATGAGGGATGGTTTTAGGGAGGGTCAGCCCAGGATGCCCTGCCCAGGTCTCAAAAGACATCTTTAGGTGTGTGCTGAGACTGGGAGATCTGCTGTGAAACCGCCCAGCTGCTGGAATAGGAAGATTCTTTTCTGGCCTTGAATCAAAAGAAAAATGCCTGGCAGCATCCTTGGGGTGGGCATGGAAAGGCCAGCTGTTTTTGGGGTGGGCAGACTCAGCAGGACAAGGGCTGAGTTTGGGGGCTGTCTGGGATGTTCCCCTAAGCAGTATGGCTTATGGCCCTAGAGTGAGGATACCCAGGGGATCTCAGTCTCCAGCCCCAGGGAATGCCTTGGATTCGGGACCACATTTAGGGTACCCTTCCTTATGCTGCCCTGGCCCAAATCATCATCCCAGACCAGGGGGGCAGCGAATCCAACTCTCATTCCCCAGCCTGTGCATCCCTGTTTCTATTCCCCTGCCCATCCCTCCCCCCGCCCCCCATCAGAGTGAGCCTGGAAATGGCAATTAATTCACTTTAATTAATTATTTAAGCTAAGTGGCAGATGCTGCTCTCACCAGGGCAGCCTCTGCCCTCTCCAGTCCCAGAAGGTGCCATTGCTGGTGGCTGAGAGCTGGGCCAGCAGCTGCAGGACACCCCTCACGCTCTCCTCCAGCGTCACCGGGCCCTGTCGCACGCAAGGGCAAGGGAAAAAGTGAGCCAAGATTCTCCATCCCAACACCCCCAATCCCACCCATAGGATGGTGGAATGCCAGCTTTGGCTGGGTTGGTTTGGGAGCAGCTGGAGATGCTCCAGCAGCCAAAGGATGTGGCTTTGCACAAATTGATTCTCCTTCATTTAAGTCCTGTAAGAACGGAGGATAATTTTTTCATTTCTAATTAAAAAGTGACTCATTTGTCAGCCAGAGCAGGGTAAGGGACAGCCAAGTGCAGGACCGGGGTGCCCTCTGCTGACACACCATCAGGATGGGAAAGGAAATAAAAAATAGGAAAGAAATTGGGTGGTTTGAGGGGAGAGTTTGGAATTATCCCTTTGCTGTGGTGGCATAGCAAGGGACAAGGGACTGCACGGATGTGGGTGGCCAGGGAAGGGATGTCCATAGCCAAGGATGCCTCAGGAAAGGATGTTCATGGGAAAGGGATGTCCATGGGAAGAAATGCCCTGTGAACTGGTGCCCATGGGAAGGGATGTCTGTGGGAAGGGATTCTTTGTGAAAGGATGAACCCTGAGAAGGGATGTTCATGGGAGGGGGTGGCCTTGGGAGGGGATTCTCCTGGGAAAGGATGCCCCTAGGAATGGATACCTATGGGACCTTGCTGAGCTAGGATGGCCATGCACCTCCTGTCACTCACCATCCCCTGTTCCAAGGGAGGTGTCACATGTCCAGGATCCACAGACACGCAGAGGATCCCTCTGTTCCCGTACTCCAGGGCCAGGCACTTGGTAAGCATGTTCAGAGCAGCCTGGGAGGACCAATTCCCCTCCTCATCATGATCTGGCAATGCCATGGCCAGTGATGGGGGAGATTCCAGAGGAGGTGACCCCCAAATTCCTCCCCATCCTCCCAGTGGCAGTACCTTGCTGCAGCGGTAGCAGATGTCCTGCCTCTCTTCCCAAGCCTCTGCAACCTCGATGGAGCCCAGGATGCTGGAGATGTTGATGATGGCAGCTCTGCGGCAGCTCATCTCACGCTGCCCTTCGGCCTCAGCCGCCTCCTTCAGCAAGGGCAGGAAGGCCTGCAGGGGATGGGATCTCAGGCATCACCATCCTCTTCCTCCCTGTTCCCAGTGTTTGGGGCAGGGGTTGCCTGTGTCCTCACCTGGCTTGTCTGCAGGGGCCCGATGGTGTTGGTGGTGTAGACGAGGCTCATGTTCTCTGCTGTCTCAGTGGCCAAGGTGCTGCGGCGCGTGGTGCCGGTGTTGTTAATCAGGAGGTTGAGGCCAGCACTTCCCACCTCCTCCCTCACCTTCCTGACTGCTGCCTTGATGCTGTTGGGGTCTGTCACATCTGCAAAGGGACAGGAGGGTTGGGGGACAGGCTGGTGGCTGTGACCCTGGCAAGATGCTGTAGGACATGGCAGGAGGCGACTCCCAGCCACTGAGCATCCTCCTGGTCCCATCAGTGACCTGGCTGAGCTAAGCCAAACCAAAGGACCCACCTGCTTGATGGCATTTCCTGGAGCCACCCACGATCATCGCAATTAAATCCTGAGAAGCTTCATCCCTTTCCCGCCCCAGCACTTACCTAGAGGCAGGATCATGACGTTGGGAAAGCCCAAAGCCACCTCATTGACAGCCTAGGTGGAGAAAGCGGGGGACGGGGGTCACGTGGGGAAGCTGACTGGAGGTGACGCCAGCACCGTGCCGGGGTGGGAAGAGGGTGGCCCCTCATGTCACAGCCAACAGGTTACAACAAGATCCAGTGGGAGCCATTTGGGGCGAGTCGCTGCTTCTCTGCACCTGGCTGAGCTTCAAAGCTCCCAGCAGCGATGCCCCCAGCACAGGGGCTGCCAGCACAGCAACCCCCCCTGCTCTCCCCATCATGCACATACCTGCGCCAAGAGACGCCAAAAAAATTAAATACATACATAGGTATTTTTAATATGTAATACATATATATGTATTTTTGTTTTACATATATATGTACATACATACACATATATTTTTCCATGCCATTCATCGTGCAGGATGCTGGCACTCAGCACAGCCTTTCATCAAGGAATGTTAACTGCCAGGCTGTTGCTTT